CCCGCGCTACATCTGCAAAAGTCTTCGCAACATGTAGGCGCGTGTGCCGCACACGATGGCACAATTTGTTCTAAAAATAGAAAAATTGTCCTATACCGTAGAGATAGCCCCAATACTAGAAATGGCGCGCGCTTACGGTCTCCGTCCCCGATTATGGCTCCTGATTTTATATGTTCACGAACACGACTTTGAATCGCCTTGGCTTTGGAGTGTTTACCGTGGGAACAGCTAGATTTCATTGGCTGTAGTTTGATTGCATTTGTTGATTAGTTCCAGTCGCAACAGATCCGGTCGAATATCGTTTGGAAACTCTGAAAAAGTACTCTGAAGGCAAGATCCGGCTAGATTGTAGAATACAGGACCACTCATTTGCATCTCCTTGAATTTGAATGCTTTCTTTTACATTGTTTCTATATTATACTTTGTTCTTAGAAGCGAATGTCGCTCCTTCAAATGAGTCGCACGGAGTTTCTTTTTAATAAAAGAGTTCGAGATTACAAATTTTGCTTACATTTGTGCTTCCAGCTTCGAGTAATGTAAGTAAAAAAAATATACTTTTACAAATTGGCTTTCACGCTTAAACATTACCAGTTAATGCGAAAATATTAAGCACCAAATTAGAAGGCTTATGTAAATGTTTTTGTGAGTCCACGGAAACAGGCACAGTCACGCAGCGTATCAACAAATCGCATTTTATACAGCGGACCTCTTCGCTGACTTCACTAGCATGGATTTTGACACTATGATATATCTGTCTGTTAAATCTCGGTTGTTGATGAAAAATGTTGATTTTAGCAATAGATAGAGGTTGAAGGTCAGCTAGTGAAATCATAAGGTATATGTATACAGCGTCGAAAGCACTCAGAATCGTTGATTACTACTAGTAATAATAAATAGGTTCTTAAAAACACATTTTACATCACATGGAATAGATAACATGGCAAGCAAAACGAGTCATTTGGTGAGCAAACTGGGTGATTTTCAGCAGAAAAAAGCCGGTGCAATTATATAGGCATTGAAAAATAAAAAGGTTCAAGCCATAAAAGTTATGTTATTAAAGCGGAGCTCCTGAGCGCAGAAGGCCTATACCTATTAAAATTTGGTAAACCACGAAGCTAAAAGTTTTTGGTTGTCACATAACGCCCCGTATTTCGTCCACCACTTGCACTGCGCGTACGTGAGCGGGGTCTCATGCCTTGAAAATTAACGAGTAGTGTAAAGTAGAATAGCGTAAATATAGCAAACATGCAACTAAAATAAAAGAGGAAATAACGATTCACTATACTTGTAGTTTCTTCGTAATCACGACTTGGGAAACGAAGGCAAACGATGAAACGGCCTAATGCACGATTGTGGCAAGCCGCGATTTTTGGCAAGAAATCGCACTGCCAAGGTCGGACAAACCAAAGTTTTAAAAGAATTTTTAAATCTCTATTCAGCTAGTCTGAAGTTTAAAACTGGAGAAAAGACATACGCTTATTTATACATCTCTTGTTTAATTGTGTCGACAAAAAAGAGTTTTGTCAATTCAGCTTTGGGAAGACAGGGTGTACAGTTCGACTACTAAAATACAACTAACCAATCAAAATGTACACTAGGAACAATGGACTGGTAGCTTTTTCGAGATTGCAAGTACTGGGAGTCTGTTTGACGTGAATACATAAGTACCATCACTCTTAGAGATTCAGTCCTTGACGGCGAAATATTATAATTGTAAATCTCACTCGAAAAATTTAGCTTGAAAACTCATTTTAGGACAACTAAACAGAAACCGATGAAAAGCGGAAAAAATTTAGGATCGAAACTAACCAATCAACAAATGACAAAGTTTCCTGAGAGGTTCGCAACACTTCGCACTTTTTGGGGGTTTTAATTTTATTAAGAACTATTTTCGTATTATTCAATCTTATTGATTTTATTTGCCAAAAAAAGATCGCTATGCTTTGTTCTTAAGTGACGTTCTGATTGGTTAACTCTTTTGCAAGTGGCCCGGTTCAAGTTGTCGCACTGTAAGCGAATTGCTATGGGAAAGAGCGCGAGATAGAGCTAAAGAAAACAGGGGAAGACGAAGCGACGGAAAGGGAAACAGAGAGCAAGGAAGCAAAGAACAAAAGGGCAGAAGAAAAGAGACAAAGAAGTAGCGAAGAACAACAGGAAAAGAAGAGAGGGATGCCCCGACCCGAGGAAAAAAAGGTAGAGAAGAAGCAAAGACCAACGAGAAAAAGCCAGAAAGGGCCCCAAAACAAAACAGGGAACAAAGTAGCCAAGAACAAAGGGAAATAGAAAGACAAAGGAAAAGAGAACGGACAGAAAACGAAAAAGCTACTAAAGAAGCAGGGAAGCACAATTTAAAATACAATATATAGATTTAGTCAAGCCTAAAGGGGGAGCTCCTGATTAAATAATTAACCATAACTGAAGAGAGGATATTTTCCCTGGATGAGAAACTCAAAAAAAATATCAATTGTGAGCATATGATTGTTCAGTGTGTGGTTTCATTATTTTTTCTAGTTACATTTTAACAAACTATACCTAGCGAGTGCACCCAAGATTGTAGAAATTACGCACGCAATATATCAGGGACTTTCCACGAGACGATTGTGCAAAGAATATGTCGGAAGAAAAGTCAACGCGTCAGAGTTTAATTTGCGCCGAGATTGCGCCGAAATGCACCTGTGTGTGTGCAGTTTGTTCTGAATACATATCATACCCAAGGCATTCCAGTGAAAGAGAGAGACGACTGTTGAAAGCTGCCCGTGCTAAGGGACCAATCTCCAAAACAGAACCAGAAAGGATCAAGCTCACTTTACAGGGGCAACGGCTACAATGTGCTGAATATGGAATTTTTTTAGGGAGCAATGTTGCCTATCATACCTCTGAAGAAACAAGTCCTCCATTTTCGATGAAATAGCCTAGTTTTTCCTTAACCTGGAATGTAAATTAAAATGAGGAAAATCATTAGTCCATAATAAAATTATCTTGTGTTCGTTCAAAATACATAATCATGATGATGGATGCATAACGGTGTCTTACTTCTACGTTACATTACACGTATAAAAGAGTAATGCAACAAAAGAACAACGAAACAATGAATCGTCATGTTAGATCTTTAAAAGACTCAAAATAAAACATCATGACGCATAATTGAAAGGAGGGGTAGATATCCAAAGATTAACAACAGAAGTTAAGTCATTGGCGTATTGTAGCATTACTGTCAGTGATATCGACAGTTTCCTTACCTCTTTAGACTTTGAGCTGCGATATGGACAAGTATTCGCCAAAGTTATTTCACGGTATAATGCTAAGAGAAGAAGAATGTTTATGTTGACACCTTGTACTTCGGTTTCCTGCCCAAGAAGAACACCCGTATTACTTTTCTGCGTCAATAGTAACCAGTGTAACCAAAATCTGAATTGCACTAAATACAAACCGTGATAGCAGTAACAATGTCTTGGATATTTCCACTGATGACAGTTTTTGCTAGTCCTTCACGAAGTGCCCGATAGTGCTTCTCGTGAACAATGAACCTGTCTGGAATGACATCATTCTCCTAAAAACAAAAGCCAACGTTCATCAGCAGCCGATCCCTGAAATATGGTCGGTGCTGTTTTCGTGTACGTACTTTGTCCTCGATTTTTCGACACGGACTAAACTCTGCTAGCACTTACAAAGGAACTATTCCCAATTACTGAGTTAACCTACGATCATGACCTCCCTCCCTATCCCTTTCCCTTAAAAAATAAACGCCTGATCGCAGGTTAATTCTGAGTTGGAGAAATGTTCAAAAAGACCCAAGATAGACTCTTCAATTTGTCTTTTAAATTGATCCTAATCAGAGTAAATAATGCTTCTGATGCTTTTATAGGAGCTATCCCGAAATGTTGAATGGGAGTCATTTTAAGAACCTCCAGGTACAGAGCTGTTATATTCACAAAATCCGAGAGTCGATTCTTCTGCTATTCAGAGTAGCCAAATTGCTTACCTGCTTACGAGCCATCCATTCTAGTTCCTTATAGCCACCCATAGTCCGAACGCAATCAAAACCATACCGTCTGACAAGCTGTTGAAGAAGGTAGAGCTGCGGCGTGGTGCTTGATCCTTCCATGCAAAGCTTTCTAGCAGAACCCAGTAGACAGCCAGCTTCTCTCTTAACATCGAGGTCTTTAGCATACCTTCTATCTCCTTCAATAAACCACTTGTAAAGGAAGTCTGCTACGAGGGATAGGGCGTGACGTCCTTTTGCGACGCCTTCCAGTGCGTTTGCGTTTATCTCAAAAGAATCTTGTTCATTGCCTGTGAGAGCTTTAGATCCTTCAATAAACCGCTTGTAAAGGACATCTGTCAAGAGGGATAGGACGTGACGTCCTTTTGCGACGCCTTCCAGTGCTTCATTGCCTGTGAGAGCTTTAAATGCTTCATCACAAATCTTTTTGGCATATTTGAGTTTTACTGTCAACTTCGAATCGGCCACTTTGGATTGGTACCGGCTTATTAGAATGTCCTGAGAAAAGAAAAACAAAGTTAAAAAAAATAAAGCTGCATGCCACTGAATTGACTGCAAGGGTTATCCGAGTATGAAATATAATTTTGAACGCAGAATACTAAATAAAATATCACTACATGTTCACAAAGTATTGGGAATGACGTGGGCGCACCTCATCAAGAAAGGAAATCTTAATCATGACGGTGATTGGATGCCTGATCTTATTCAGTGTAGATTTTGCGCGTTTTCTTCTTCGTTTTAGAGTCGATTGAGGGGATATATCAAACTCTTGAGAGAGTGTTTCACCACATTTTCAAACACCTCAAAGTTCGTCAGAAACACTCCGCTGCATGTCCGCGGCGTATTTGCAACTGTCGTCTCGGTGTCTGGAAATGTGGTAAAACACGATCCCCCTGTTTAATATATTACGGTCAAAATTAACCAAAGAAAGGGCTGCGTGTGGCAATATAGAGTTATTATCCTTCTTATCTCTCCAGGTCATACGTTCATAACTCACCTCCATGCATTGCACGTACAAAAAGCAGACCTCTTTAATGTGCTGGGGTTCTGGATTCAAGCCTTGAGCCTCTTGCAAGAAAATTTCCAAATGCTCTTTCACCACCTTTGTGCTGCATAACAAGGAGTGGAAACAGGAAAAACTTAGTTAAACCACACTTTTTCGAAATCTAGCTTCTCTAAACTGCACACAGTTACCATATTTTAAAAGCAGATGTCAGACTTGTTATGCAGTACTTGATATCTTATTTATATCACTAGTTACGTGGGGTTACCTCGAACGGAGGAGCTGCTGGAGAAGAAAAGAACGCACCACAGGGTTGGGGTCGATACCATAGTCGGGAAACGGCGAGAAATCTTTTGTTTGAGTGGATTTGCGGCCGATAACATAACGCATAAGGAGGGAAAGAGCTTCTTGTTCCAAATCTTCAAATACTGAGTCACCAAAACAAAATACGGACACTAGCTCTATGAAAAAAGCGTTGCAGCGGCGTCGTAACTCGGAAGTGGTGTTTTCATCGGCCCTATTAAGAAAATCAACAAAATGCGCTGTTATACTTTCAGAAATGAAGCGTTTCTGTTATGCAAATAGTGTTCAACGTCTTATCCTCTATTTGACGCAATGTAATGAATGCACAGTCCGGGGTCAATTCAATAAAACTTTTACACTTGTAATCTACAAGTCGGATCATTGTGTTTACAAGCGTGGACGAAAACGAGTTTAATACCAATCGTTACAAGTCCAGGTTACAAGTGTCCAACTTGTACTTACAGGTGTAGTGCTACACGTGTAAAAGGTGGTAAGAATCAAATTTAATAAAACTTTTACTAGAGTCCGACTTGTATTTTTACAAGAGTCCAACTTGTTAATCACAAGTGCAAAATACAAGTCACATGTCTCTTGCAGACATTAAATACGACTTGTGAAACAGATATTAAAGGGTCAAAACATGTCGTCTTCTAGTGAAGAGGGACTCGACGAGCTCCTAGACGTCAAATTATCGGCTAACCAAGGAAGTTTGAAGAAAGGGGCCTCTTTGACATCGAAAATCCAAGGGAATTTCGAGGGAAGTTTCGTCCCCCGTTGGAATTTTAAATAGGCCGGCAGACTTTGAAAGGGCAGCAGGGATATTAAAATTTGCAATTGTAAAATTACATGTGCATTCAAGCGGATTTAACAATTGTAAGGCAGCAATTGTTATTTACACTTCTATCCTGACACGGGTAAATTCCAGTGTAGAAAATACTTTTATTGAATCCTTGTATTTCCAAGCTGGACTTTACACGTGTAAATTACACGTGTAAAAGCTACAAGTGTAATTTCTTTATAGAATTGACCCCTGGTCATGGGCCCATCAAAATAAGCTGAGCAGTGATGGCTTAAGGTGGCTCGAAACAGTTTCCAGCAGTTCGGGAGCGCTTAGATTTTGATGGGCCGTTATAACCACTCTTTATCACTGGATGCTACAATCATGGTATCAAAAAACTGCCCAACCATTGGTGAACACGTTGTTATCATTTTCGTAACACAATAGGTTACCATAGCAACAGTATGACCTGCTAAAAACACCCTTAAAAACAGCTTTAGGGATTTTTAATTCAAAAACGGCACGGTGAATTTTTTTCAATTTATCAACATTTGAAAAGCATAATAAGATGCAATTTTTGGAATAGTTTAAAAGAATTCTGTAGGTGGGGTTAAGAGCCACCTAAAATTTTCGAAAATTTAGTGGTTATAACAACCCATCAAAATCTAAGTGCTCCAGAAGTGCTGGAAACTGTTTTGAGCTACCTTAAGCAAACACTATGATATGCCTTTGGCAGTGAAATTTCGACACAATGCGAAGACTTTAAGATCCGTAGTTATTACATCCATGAAGCATAGTATTACCGTTCTATTGCACCATGCATTAGAGAAAAGACTTTGAAAAATCTTAAGATAACTCTGCATGACGTATTATCATCGTTATAATAGTTTATTTTACCTCCTTTGAACGTCTTCATTCAGGCTGATTAGAAATTTTTCAATAGTCTGCAGAGATCTCATCAAGGAAAAGTTAGTTTCATCTCCTAGAGCCTGCCCAGTCAAGAAAGGAAGCGATTAATAACGTTCATTTCCTTTAATTGCTGATTAAAGGGAGCATTTATGTTTAGTTTAACCTTAAATGAATACCTTAACTGAATCGTCAAGAAGCAAGACTTTTCTCAATTCACTTGGCTGGTCTCCTCTCTGCCAAAAGGGCTGTATGGTATTTAGAGTAATAACAAGCTACAAGCTTGCACTAGTTATCGTATTGACATCTGTACTGACAGAATGCCGTCCTATGATTTCCGCGACGTTGCCCATAAACTAATCTAACCTAGGCTAACACCTGACAACCTAAAACGCACCCTCTACCAAAGTGAACCTTTCCTCTGAAAGAAGTTAGAGCTGCTAGCTTCTCTAATCTCTTTAGAAAACATATCAACAAACGATTTTCCACCTCGAGCTCTCACACGAAAAATATGTCAGCCAGTTAATAAAATATGTAAACTCCCTACGCCATATTTCGCCTTGTTGTTTAGTTCCCGCCATTGGCTCATATAGCATGGCGCATTCTGCACGTTGTCGTTTAGTTTGCTTCATTGTTTCGCTTCGCATGCACGCTGTTGTTTAGTTAGCCTCACTGTCTCGCGGTTCATGCATAATTAGCTCCCTATCTTTTTTAACCGCTTTTGCCTGGTTCGTTTGCTTTGTATTTGCCTCTTGTCTTGGGTTAATAAACGTGTTCTCCCTTGCTCAGAGTTTCGGCTCAACTTACTGGCGTCGTGGCAGCGCAACATTTCCAAAGCACCCACAGAGACTAGGACGTCAAAGTGTTCTTCGATTTTAGCCGCCTCTCTNTCATCAAGTTAAAACAAAGGAAATCATAATCATGAAGATGTTTGGATGCCTGATCTTATTCAGTATAGATTTTTCACGCTTTCTTCTTAGTTTTTGAGTCGATTGAGGGGATATATCAAACTCTTGAGAGTGTTTCACCACACTTTCAAACACCTCAAAGTTCATCAGAAATACTCCGCTGCGTGTCGTATTTGCAACTCTCCTCTCGGTGTCTGGAAATGTTGTAAAACACGACTCCTCCTGTTTGATATATTACTGTCCAAATTCACCAAAGAAAGAGCTTCTTGTGGTAACATAGAGCCATTATCCTTCCTATCTCTCTGGGTTCATACGTCTACAACTCACCTCCATACATTGCACGTACAAAAAGCAGACCTCTTTAATGTGCTGGGGTTCTGGATTCAAGCCTTGAGCCTCTTGTAAGAAAATTTCCAAATGCTCTTTAACCACCTTTGTGCTGTATAACAAAGAGTGGAAACAAAGGGAAAAAACTTAGTTAAACCACGCTTTTTCTAAATCTAGCTTCTACTAAACAGCATATTTTAAAAGCAGATGTCAGACTTGTTATGCAGTACATGACATTTTACTTATATCACTAGTTACGTGTGGTTACCTCGAACGGAGGAGCTGCTGGAGGAGAAAAGAACGCACCACAGGGGTGGGGTCGATACCATAGTCGGGAAACGGCGAGAAATCTTTTGNCTTCTTAGTTTTTGAGTCGATTGAGGGGATATATCAAACTCTTGAGAGTGTTTCACCACACTTTCAAACACCTCAAAGTTCATCAGAAATACTCCGCTGCGTGTCGTATTTGCAACTCTCTTCTCGGTGTCTGGAAATATTGTAAAACACGATTCCTCCTGTTTGATATATTACTGTCCAAATTCACCGAAGAAAGAGCTTCTTGTGGTAACATAGCGCTATTATCCTTCCTATCTCTCTGGGTTCATACGTCTACAACTCACCTCCATACACTGCACGTACAAAAAGCAGACCTCTTTAATGTGCTGGGGTTCTGGATTCAAGCCTTGAGCCTCTTGCAAGAAAATTTCCAAATGCTCTTTCACCACCTTTGTGCTGTAAAACAAGGAGTGGAAACAAAGAGGAAAAAAAACTTAGTTAAACCACGCTTTTTCTAAATCTAGCTTCTACTAAACTGCATATTTTGAAAGCAGATGTCAGACGTCTTATGCAGTACATGATATCTTACTTATATCACTAGTTACGTGTGGTTACCTCGAACGGAGGAGCTGTTGGAGGAGAAAAGAACGCACCACAGGGGTGGGGTCGATACCATAGTCGGGAAACGGCGAGAAATCTTTTGTTTGAGTTGACTGGCGGCCGATAACATAACGCATAAGAAGGGAAATAGCTTCTTGTTCCAAGTCTTTAGATGCTGAGTCACCAAAACAAAATATGGACACTAGCTCCATAAAAAAGGCGTTGCAGCGGCGTCGAAACTCGGAAGTGGTACTTTCATCGGCCCTATTAAGAAAATCAAGAAAATGCGCCGTTATCCTTTCAGAAATAAAACGTTTCTCTTATGCAAAATTGTGATCAAGGCCTTATCCTACATTTTACCAGTAAAAAATAAATAAATACAAAGTCTGGTCATAGCCATCAAAAGAAGTTAGGCTGTAATGGCTTAAATAAACACTATGATATGCCTTTGGCAGTGACGTAAATTTCGAAACCATGCGAAGAGTTACCGTAAGATCCGAGGTTTTTACATCCATGAGGCATAATAATGCTCATGCTTTCAAGGATTAAACTATGTTATATTGCACCATGCGCAACAGAAAAAAGACTTCGAAATGTTGAAAACTATAAAGATAACTCTGCATGGCTTATTATCGTGATAATGGTTTTATTTATCTTACCTCATTTGGAATTCTTCACTGAGGCTGATTAGAAATTTCTCAACAGTCTGCAGAGATCTCAGCGATGAAAAGTCAGTTTCATCTCCCAAAGCCTGATCAATCAAGAAAAGAAGCGATTAACAATGTTCATTTTCGTTTGTAAGTGATATTCGCTGATTAAAGGGAGCATTTATGTTTAGTTTAACCTTATATGAATACCTCAAATGACCCGTCAAGAAGCAAGACTTCTTCTCAATTCACTTGGCTGGCCTCCTCTCTGCCAAAAGGCCTGTATGGTATTTAGACTACTAACAAGCTACAAGCTTGCACTAGTTATCGTTTTGACATCTGTAATGACTTCCGCGACGTTGCCCATAAACTAACCTAACCTAGGCCAACACCTGACAACCTAAAACGCACCTTTTACCACAGTGGAGCTTTCCTCTGGAGGAAGCTAGAGCCGCTAGCTTTTTTAATCTCTTTAAAAAAACATATCAACAAACGGTTTACCACCTCGAGCTCCCACATGGAAAATATGTGAGACAGTTAATAAAGTATGTAAATTTCCTATTTCATTTGCTGATATTTTTATCGTGTTTAATAAGTTTGTTGCTTTTGTTGTTGTTGTTGTTGTTGAGATTGGTAAATGAATATAAGGTGTCTCCGCGCGCTGTGAGCATCTACCTAGACTGACCGTTTTTTTACGATGTTTGTTTGAGTGCTTGCCTTTAATTAACACATAACAAAACTTATACCTTCCATAGTCTGACCACACTCTCATCTTGCTCGTCAAACAAGGTCACGTGTTCTACAAACAGTCTGACAGCTCCTTCTCGTTGCCACATGGATCTAGCACACAGAAAATGAAGTGAACATCTAACACCCCGTGAAAGCTAGACTAAACAGATGAATACCCAAAGAATTTACAATCCCGAGATTTGTAGGAATAGACAGGAAAAGCGGAACACCAAAAAGCAAAAATCCTCAATCAATCAAATAATCAACACGAAACAACTTTTATCCTCGATTAAAAAGTGATAGTAATTTAAACTTATTCCTCCCTCGACGGCAGGGCTGTATAAATGCCAAATTACCTGCATTGACCAAGCAATACTGTGGATTTCTCTCCGTAGTTTGAGCTCATCTCTGTAACGGGTCCAAACCTTTCTTTTCTCATCATGTCTTCCACCGCTGGTCTGATGGACAATACTTTGTCACACCAAGCTCGCCTGGATTCCGGCTTCAGCAAAATTTCAGCGGATGGGCTAAGAGCTTCAAGGCAAACTTGCAATGCAACAACGTCCAGGATCTGTTCCATAAGAACACAATGATTGTAATCGGTGTTATGGGTAGCCTGCGTGTGTACTATATTACTTATAAAAGAATTTTGGACGTTAAACTTTCGTATGATTTATTTCGCACGTTTAATTTTCGGACAATAACTTTTTATCTAGTTTTGGGCGAATTTCGGACGTAAAATTCGGACAATTTCCTGAAACATAGCTTAAGCAAATGTCTACGCCTACCAAACAAGAATTAGACTGAAACAACATCGGTGAAAATGATTGTTTTACTGCATCCTCAAGGTTTTTTAAATGACAAATTCTATCAAGCCGTTTCCCAACTTAAGTTCGCTCCATAAAAGAAACTAAGATGTTTGGAGCTACTTAAAAGTTTTATACTGTGCTGCTTTATACTGTATTTTATACTGTACTACTACTATACTGTACTACTGTTTTATACTGTATTTCGGACGCTTAAAAATTTCGGACACTTATTTGTTCGAAATGAAAAATCGTCCGAAATTGTTTGTAAGTAATGTATTTTCTTTAATTCACCTTCCCATGTGAATGAAAGAGAATAGTAGACATCTACACGCAGACTATGCTATTAGCAGCATACCATAACTGCTCCACCGCTGGGTACAGCACAACGAGACTTCAAATGTCGAAATCAGAACTAAGTTGAATGCCAAAGTGTCCAATTACATTGTTTGGGTAGAGCTTTTGACATTTTTTACAGACCAGCACTATAGAAAATAATGAGGCACCATGCCATTCCGCAAATAGAAGCAATCGGCATGTGTTGTTAGTGTTTTGCTAGCATTTTGAAACGAGTGGCTACAACAAACCAAAATATTTGCTCATGATAACATTTCCAATCACCTTGCAAGGGCGACAAAACAACGCTTTACCAGAAATTAGCAAGGCACATAAATAATTGGGCAATTTACTTGAAAAAATAATCTTCTTCACAGAACTGTTACAACTACTCACCACTTCAGATTCCTTCTCTCGGGGAATTTCTCTCAGTCTTGGCACAAGACCAGGATGGACTTGAACAAGTTGGGCAAAACACGTTAAGCGCAACTGAACCCTACTGTGTGCCACATGAACGAGTGGTATGTCAATCACCTCATTACCCTCTTCATCTTCCAGAGTACCCAATTCCCTCGCTGATGAAAGAATGGCTTCGTAAACAAGCTGAAGAACAAAAGAAAACAGCTTACACTTTTGTGACGTTAAGTCATTATTTACCACACAACGAATTCGGAATACGGTAGCACGAAGGTTAATTACAACTGGAATAAAGTGTCAAATAATAGTTAACAAAAACCTCGTATTCCATATCACTTGAAGGCTTGTAAACCATGTGAACGAAATCCATTAGGTACGCTTGTGCTGAGAAGGGTTGATGACGCAGATCCCCAAGAAGAGACCCAATTTCGGAATTATCGATCAAACCACGTAAAGATTCCACCAAAGTAGCACTGGACTGGGCTGAGGAAACAACAAATTACCGAATACTTTAGTTCCAGTAACAAGTATGTTTTATCGCTAGGTTTTTAGTTTATTATCGTCAGCGCAACATGGCTCTAAAGCCATTATAAGATCTCCCATACCCTTCACGAATCTGGCTCTGATAAAACAGGATGGAACCTCTCCATCTAACTTGAGTTTCCTTCTAATACTGATAACTAATATTACTGGTTCGACAACCAACAGAGGTTTTTAGTTCATCCATTTACTGCAGTCCGACTACAAAGCGCTCTGGTATGTTGTAAGCTGGCACTGTAATAATTAATTATTAGTATAGAGTTAAAAGAAAAACTGCACCCATGATTCTTTTCACTTCAGTCGAAGGGAATTGGTGGCTATAGGCATTGTTAAAACAACACAACTTAAACAAGACGAGATGACAACATTTCAGTAGGATTAAAAACAAAAACATACACGGCTAAGAACAAATTCACTGTGTAGAACTGATTATTATATAATCAAAACTGGATTTGTACCTGAAACGCCAAACGCATCTTTCAACGACTGTTCCACGCCTTGCTTGATAAGGAAAGAAAATGGAAATCGGCAAAAGAACTTGTGACCGCCAGCGCCAGAGCCAAGGACTTGCACACGCTCACGAACCGAATTAGTAACTGGCGAAATCATCTTACTATAACTTAGCTCTGAAATTTTGGGGTCAGCCATTATCTTCAACCACAGCTTAGAAATCCAAGTGTCGTCATTTCTCATCAAGTCCAGATTGCTGTCCCTGTCTGCCAACGCGATGATCTCAGCCAGAATGGGTACCACAGCAGAGTACACTCTTTTCCAAAGAGCCTTTCTGAAGGTGCCCCATTCTTGCACACCTGTCCCGGATAGAGCCTCTGCGTGCAGCCACTCGTGTGCATTGTATGCTATTTTTTCTCTTTCTTTCAGTAGGTGAAACGTTCTTTGTGTCACAACGCTAGCAAATGTCTCGTCAGCTTTAAAACAATAACAGCAAAGAAAGATGAATTAAGACTTAAAAGTGTTTGTATTTTTTCTCACTTGAACGTGTTTGTATGCCATTTTGTGGTCCGTATCTAACTTCTGTTTTCCCTTCCACGAAATTGCACCAGTGACCCAGTGACACAGCAGTTATAAGCGAGACGTATTTTATTTGCTGCTAAAATCGATAAACAGAAAACTTTGAAGTTATCTACTCTGCTATCAGGCAGGCCAATTAACAACAACATCTTGAAGATCAAATATAATACATAAGAATTCCCATCTGAAATGAAACGCGAAAATATTCAAACTTGTTTGTTGCATTATTACTTAATGGACGGAGAAACAATTATTTTTTTATTTTTAACTTGAAACTGAAGGGAGCGTATGAACAAAGCCATTCATGGTTGGCATGTCATGGATTTAAAAAGTTCCGCAATCAGTGTCATTTACACTAACCTCCAGCACCTTGAGACTCGTCAGGTAGCAAATCCAAAAGAAGCTCAATTCGCTGAGTTGATCGTTCAGTTGATTCCATTTCGTTATCAACTCTGCACGCTGCTGCTTGTACGCAGTTTCGCAGGAGCTTCACAGCCAAGGCCTGCGTGACCTCATCCCTTTCTTCTTGATCTTTACTTCCGCTTCTGAACAGCTCGCTGATTGGACGATCAATAAGTTGCTCGATAGAAGGAGTGTGCCTGTCGGGTGGGCGGAGTTCATCAATGTGACTAGACATCCACTTTCCACCCTGGAAACCGACAAAGTTACGGCACCCACCGACCATTCTCGGCAGCTGTATGACCAAGACAACGTGAACTGCTTCGATTGATGGCAGATTGAGCATTTCTGGCGCGTTAGTCCGTTCCTCCAGCAGAATATGCCTTGCACCGGCAATCAGGTTGAAGTTGTCATCTCCTGAGTCACACTGAACCAGGAGAATGCCAGGACAGTCTCCTCCAAGGCGTTCAAAAAAGGCTCTGTCAGAGCGTGAGTTTGAAAGTTTTAAATAGAGGTTACAGCAATTTATGTTACTTTCGTTTTACCTGAATCATTATTATAACAAGAGCTAGGAAGAAGAGTTAAGGTTTAGCGCCAGTAATGTAGGATATTCTTAGGGCGATCAATAGGCAGAATCGGCTAACCTGTTTACATCGCCCTTGGTTCCACCCAATTCAGAGCACGTGATGATTCATTTGGAAGGTTACAATTGTGCAATTTGTCACAGATACCTGACTGCATAGGAGTATGTACAAACAGAACAATTGTAACCTCCCAAATGAATCATCACATGATCTGAATTGGGTAGCAACAATGGTGTAATCACGTTAGCCGAATCCGTCTATTGACCACCTTGTGACAATGTTGGCGTCCTTATGCGTGAAAAGTTTGAGAATTCCCAGAAGTTCCATTTTAAAGACATAGAATTACCAGAACTTTAAATATATATTAACTATCGAGAGCTTATCGCCTTAAAATAATATCGTATATCGCCTCAGCTACAGATTAGACTTTGTTTTCCTCTATCCAGGAAGAGAATAGATTGGGGCTCAAAACTTCGGAACAGGGTTTGATGAAAGAACGTTTAGAAAAATCGGTCAAAAGGTGAGAGTAGGTCAGAACGTATAGCGTGCAAACCTGTCCATGGCGGACACAGGTCAGTTACAGCCGAAAAGCAAGATATGTGGGTTATTGTTATTAAGGACATGGGTATTTTTCTTTCTTTTTTTTCTAGAATGGGAAATCGCTCGATGTGATATGATGTAACACATTTCTTAAAATAGACCATTACCTTACTGATCCTCGAAACTGTTGCTCCGTCTGGAACTGTTGAAGTGTCATGAGATCGACAGTCGAACGATGGAAATCACTTCGGTTACATATGTCAGACAGATCGTGGTTAGAGAGCAGACGAGAATGAGTGGTAATCTAAAACAAAAGTTTAGGAGATCAATTGGTCGAGTTAGATAATACTATAAAACAATAAAAATATAGTCGTCTTTTAAAGGGGCTATGTCAAGGTTTGCGCTTCTTGAAAAGTTTAGCCTAAATTTTTCAAGTTCGTCCTTTGTAATCCGTGTTAATCTTCTCCATCCTTAACCATCCCTGTTCCTTTATGGTTTATTATTATCTTTTCGGTGTATTTCTATCTTAGTAAAGTAATTTTTTCAGGTTTCCTTCCCTCAAAAGGTACCGTGACTGAACTCCTTTAAGTTGAAAAGTTGCGACTCACTTGGATTAAGAGCCCTTCTCGATGTTTCTTATCAATGTGGGCATCATCCAAAGTGAGCACATGCCTCATGAAGGCCGCTAGACTAGAATGTTGCTGCTCGCGAAAGTAAATGTCCCAGATATTGCGAGCTCTTCCATCCAAGGGAGTGGCTGGAAGACGGGCGATTGCATCAGGTGCAGCCATCTCCAGAAGCAGCTTTTGACAACCTCGAAGCACCTATAAAATGTAAAATATTTCTTAAATGTCTTCGCTTCTATATTTATATGACATAAGGGTAGTACTGAGTAAGTGCATGAAGTTTGTCACGAGCTTTTAAAATTACAAGAAATAGTTTGATTCGCTCATACTTTCACACTTTCCCAATTCCTTTTGATGGGATCTCGTCTTTTTTTCCGATTTTTGCTTGTTGACGCGCTAGGTCGGGAATTGGTTTCGTTTGGAATTTGTGAATTTAAATCTGGTAAAGTAAGATGTAAATTTGAACTTTCTGTCTTCCTACTTTCATTTCCAATGTATCCTCTGTGGTTTCATCAAGCAAATCATGGTCTTCTTCCATGTCATTGCAGACTTGCATCACGATGGAGGGAATGGTGTCCTCGTGATAGCCAACAAAAGCGTCCCCATCGGAGAAATCCCTAGAATAATAGACCCTATTGTAAGATGTATCAAAGTCTATTCATAACTCATGATAAATATGGTAGAAAATATTTTATAGAAAAATGTAAAATGAAAAGCGAGCGAAAATAGTAATAGCGTTTCGATATCGTCAAGATGCCATTGTCGAGTGCTTTCCACGAGCCTTTCTCACCGCATTTTTAAAAATGTCAAACTCAAGACTATTGCAACCTTTTCGCTATGGATTACGTTCAGTGAAGGACGCGTTTTCACTTCAACACAATGCGTTAACTGATAAGGTAAATGCGGCGTTAACCTGGTGACTTTTCTACACGGGGTTAAACCCTTCACATCAGATCAAAAGAGCCGTTTGATGTAAGCCATGTGGTAATTATATTTTACCTGTTACGCTTGTTTTCCCTCGTAACCTCTGAAAAGTCACTGACCCAGGTTTTCAGTTTATCTACCAGTTCCATCTGATATGGAGTCAAACTTGTTAAAGTCACGAGGTAGTGCTTCTCCAGACGGTTGATCAGCGGAATAGGAAACTTGTTGTAAACTACGTCCTTTTCAGCGATTACTATTAACCTAAGAGAGGATAGATGGGTATTCCACTTTAAACAACATAATTGGACCTGAAACTGGACCACGACTTTCTTCGACAACAAACGCCGCAACTGATTGTGTTACAGACTTCAGAAACACATTTAAGAGTAAACTTATCATTTACACTATGCAGTTAAATCTTTTTCAGTAGAGTTGTTGTTCAATTTTAGTGTTTTTTTTTTTTTGCGCTAGAAACTTGACATATCAATCCCACTTAGCTACGGTTTACCACTTGTACAATTCTTCGAGTCGTTACCAGAGCGTACGAGGAATCTCAAACTGAAGAAACAGCAATATGGTTAAGTAAAATATCATTCAATGACTCAGGTCACGTGCAGAGGAAACCTTGCACCTAACGTCGCTAAAAAGGAATAGTTAATATACAAGTGGACAATTTTCGTCAACAAAAGCACTAAGTGAATTCCTTACTTGAAGTCATCATGGACACGACATTTAACGCGGTGAGTACCGAGTCCAAGATCCACGTACTTCTGTCCTCCAAAGTACACGTAATACTACAAATATAAAGTAACCAAGAGTTGGAATTCGCCTACGTACACCTTTACATCGCGCAGACAAACAAGTCGCTAATGAACCGTTTTGTGTTGTGTCATGTCTCCCAAAGTTCAGTCTCTGCAAGTAAAGAACAGCGTTGCATGGTGTCTGCTAAGAGACAATCTTTAAGGTTCAATTTTGCCAAAACTGAAAGTCTGTAAAGGAAATAATAGATTTACCCAATTCCATCATTTCTCTTAAAATGGCAACAGGTACAAGATGTATTGTAGTTAGATCAGAGACCTAGAGAAGAGCAAACCAAACCAGGTGTTTCATACCTGATTGAGCGCGTCGTACAGACTTTCGTAGAGACTTTCGAGGTTTAACAAAATCACCGTTCGTCCTGTCTCCATGCAAACCTTGATACGGTTGATGTTGCGACAAATCTGAACGACACACGAATTATAAATAATGTCAGTTGAACTGCCGAAAGATACATTTATTACCGTAAACGGTCAGTACAAACTTCAAAAGCTTGTGGGTTCGTCTACAACCTAAAATTTCAAAATGTATAAAAGAAAAGTTTCTAAAAACAGATTCCTAAAGCACGTTAAAAACTAAAAGATACAATATTCAACGCTAACGTTATTTAGAAATATTCAGTAAGAAGTCAATTAAACTAAAATTGTCACTTGATGTTCTCAGAGAGTCCGGCTGTGGTACATTTTACCTGAGTGTATTCCTGGTCATTAGGAAAACTGCTTCCAAAGATAACCACTGCATCATCTGCCGTCCTCAAGAGATGTTGTTGCATGATCGGCAGTGCGGCGTAATTTTCCGTTAGTATCAAAAGGTAACGGTTCTCACTACACAAAGTAAGACATCAGTTTAGTTAACCATCAACAGCAGTTGCCATCACTGCTGCATGCCAAGTTGATCACTCGCTTCTAAAATTCATTGATAACTCATCAAGATAAACCAAAGGAAATCATGACCGTGACCGTGTTTGGATATCTGATCTTAATTAACATAGATTTTTACAATTTTATTTCTCTGTTTTGGTTTAAGTTTATGGTAGCCATAAACTGATGTTAATGAGACCTGAGAGACAATATCTCAAAGTCAGGCACACAAACTCTGCATTGTAACACTTTATTTCAGAGACATGTAACACTATGAACCTCGTGTCNAGGAGGGGCTCCCCCTCCTGGTTCCCTCAGTCCCCCGGGACTGTGGGATATGGGCCTCACCCCTGGAGGCAGGTCTGGAACTTTTATTCCAGGGTGGCCACCCCCGGTACCACCCGATCTGTACTCCCCCAGGAGGGCCCCCCTCCTGGGCCCCTACTCCCCAGTCGTCCTTCCCTGCCACCTAAATTTTACCCACAGCCAGTTTGTTATTTCCTAAATGTAGTATCGTTAGTGGAAGCTCAGACCAAGCCTCGAAAGAGGATCATTAATCATGGTTTTAGTTTCGATTGAGAAGATATATCAAACAATCAAGACAGTATTTGACCACATTTCCAAGTACCTCGAAGTTCAACAAAAATACTCCGCTACGCGTCCTTTTTTCAACTATCTTCTCAGTGTTTGGAAATGTAATCAATCTTCGTTTTTGATATATTACGTCAAAATGAAATGAAAGGAATTGTAAGAATTACCTGAAATTGGTACGGTCTGCCACATCTTCCCTTCCAAGACTTGCCTCGATTAATCTTATTGTTGTAGAGGTTTCTGCAAAATCTTCCTCCTAAAAAGGTAAAGGTTTTTTTAAGAAAAATCAACAGACCTCTGAATTGCTAACCATACTCAAATCAAATAAATCATCAATAAATCAAATAAAAACTTGGACTATCACAAATCAAACTGTCTAGATGATATTCTATCGGCCAACCTAACTACCTAACTTACATTTGCTTTGAGATCTGGGATTGAAATCACGGATATTTCTAATACTGTATTCTAGAAATGGAGTAAAGGAAGAACTATTTTTTAAGTCTTGAAAGAGACCAAATTAGTCGACGACTTCGCAACCGCAATAGCCGCGGTAACTGTGTGAGGTAACGGTTCGGGAACGTTTCTTCAAACTTATCTTGGTGCACGACAACAAAAGATAAACTCACATCTGTTCCCTGACAGTAGCGTTTGAATATCTCTACAGGCTCTCCTTCAACTAGGCCACCAAAGTTCCTCTTGATAGCATGTTCCAGTTGCTGCCAACGAGGTCTTTCGCCAGATTTCGCAGCAATAGAGTACACCATCTTGATAAGGCTTAATAGGTAAGCAAGACAAAAACAAGTAAAGCACCGAACAACTAACAAAGGAAGCAGTGAGCGATACTAAACAGCATACAAGTGATAACGTCACGGATACAATGTTGCACCTGTAAAAGTCACGAAGACCGAAAAATTCTTCTTTGCCACATTTCTTCAACGTCGCAAAATTTTTCTGTTCCTTGTAAAGTTCTGCATATCCCTCGGCCAGTGGCGGTAGCAGAGACTGAATAAGATGTTTCACCTGCTCGTGTGTTGAGCAAATTCCCCTGCAAAATCAACATTAAAAAGTTCTAGACAAGAGCAATAAATCTCGCAAAAAAGCAACTCTGCGAAGGACAACGTTAGAAAAGGGAGATAATTGAAAGGTTGCCGTTGAAAGGTAACTGAAGATTTTACATTTTTTCCAGACCTATTCTCGGTATTTGATGTTCCACAAAGACAGTAAGTAAATGATCGCCAACTTTATGTTTGACAATGTATTGAAATTAACAAAACAAAATTAAATGTTGATATAGTAGAGTATTAATTCATGAAGACTTACGATAACTTAATTCATACTTACAATGCACTGTCTACCAGTTCTCTTACGTGTGGCACACCACGCGATAACATGATGCCGCGGTTCATTTTAGCCGGGTCTAGGGCCCAATTTGAGATCCCAATGAAAGCTACACGCTGAGCTTTTTCATCCGTCTCAATGACGTCATCAGCGGAGGTAACACCATCCTCAAGAAGGGGATGTAGGGTTTTCAAAGGCATAAGAGGAGAGTCCTCCGCCAGCCCAACCTCGTCAAGGACGACGACTGATACAAACTTCTTTGGATTTTTACCCTCCTGTAATTTGCTACACTGACGGAAGGTCGCCACGATACCCTCTGGGGTTGAAAGAGGACTGCACTGATACGACGCCATGTGGACCTACCATTTAAAGAGGATATTAGAAAACAGAATTGTTGAGTGAAGGGTCAAAAGAGTGCACTTTAAAAACAGATAGAAGCACCATTCAACAAGAACTGCCTTGTTATGGCAGAGTAAGTTATTTCGCCCCCTATATAAGACAAATTTTGGAAAACGCTTTCTCAAATACTATCTCCAAGACATCCTCTTACCTGCTTGAAGGTCTTGAAGAGCTCCGATCTTGCAGCATCTCCCTGCATATTGTCGGCTACAACAGTCTTGGCCAGTGATTTGGAGCTGCCCGGTTTACCAACCACAAACAGTGGGATCCTGAGCTCAATACAGACCACCATCATGAACACGTTCTCACTCAAGGCGGTGTTTCTTGCAATGTTCGGGCCAAGTTTCAACTCCTTTAGCACGGCTCTCTGACAGCTAACAGTGACAGAAATAGGAAGGATAACATAACCTGATGCAAAACTACGATGTTCAATCTCATTATTACTGCAAGTCCATAAGCACAATAATGATTATATACGCTAGAAATGCAGTCGGTTCTGTTGTTGCCAACTTCGAGTTTTGACAAAGAGATAAACTCTCTTAATTTCGTCCAAGTGTTGAATTTTGCGAAGATCATTGCAGCTGATAACTTGTAAGTGACAAATACAACCGATCATTCCTCGCAAGTAGTACAACGTTAAACAATTTCGCTCTCGATTTCTATCGCGTGATAGTTCACGAGGGTGGTATTTCAACTTGAATTAGACAAAAACTATTATCGTCCTCAGGGCATGGCATCCTTTAGCCTAGCAACGAGAAACACGGCGTGTGGCCTGTATAATCAACAACAAAAAAAATAAATAAACAGACAACAGAAAACGAATGCTCAGTGCACGCACAAATTTTCGGGTGATTCTTTGGTGTTGAGCATGGAAGACTTTATGAACAAGTGACCAACCATAAAGACAAGTTTGCAAACCTTGAAATTTCACGAAGGATCTGTTGTTGTCCGCCAGGAAGCAAACATGGCGCTTTGAAGCTTCGTGCCACTTCAGTACGATATTCCTCACGACGTTCCTGCAACTTTGCGTGGTAGCATACACCAATGGCCAATACCAAGGCACGAGTAATGGGAGTGATCGGCTCCTACGAGTTAAAGATACGACAGTGTCAATACGCGACATTTACGTATTACTATGATCGTGGTCCTTATTGAACCAATGCATTAAAAATATTTTGCAGTTTGGAAAATCGAATAGAAAGTAGCCATACAATAGCAGCTCATTATTATATAGCTAGCTCCGCAAGCGGTCAAGATGAACCAAATTGTGCGTTGTGATTGGCTACTCGGACAGCCAATATGGAGCTGGATTTTCACTTCGTTATTTTTCTGAGTATTTTTGTACCTGGACTCCCCAGCTGTCGCCATCGTAAACTCACGCCTGGTCAATACCCCACGTGGTAGGATAATTTATGATGTACGTTAATTTCTTTGTGGCGTGTTAAAAAATTGAAATGCGTTACTACTTACGTCGTCATCGTCGTCATCATCTTCATCATCGTCACGACCTTCCTCCCTTCGTTGTTCAGTGCGAACTTTGTTCATCAGTCTGCCAAGTGTGTCCACGTGGTTATAGAACCAAACCATCACTTGCATAGCTCTCTCAACATCACGAAGGCTCACAAAGCTACACTCATCCTTAAATCGAAAGAAAGACTTTACATTTCCCATTTCCCTATGTTACTTATAGATGACCAGCAAGAAAATGAAACATGAAACAAAAGTCCTCGCTCTTATTAACAGCATTACAAGATCCAAGAAAACAACAAAGTAAGGGTAGAATAATAATTAATGACGAACATTACAAGAGGATTCCGCGGAAAATAATCAGACAGAACGCTATGATTTCTTGCTCACCGACTGATCCCTCATGTATTTCTGTGAAGCTGCTAAAACGTCCGCGACTCCCTGCACCGTTGACGCATCCCCAGGTATTTGACGTTCATGAAGAATCTGAAACAAAGATTCAAAGAGAACATTGGGCAACAATATTAAAACGATATATACTGGTAATGCTAATAAACATAAGCTAACCATTTAAGCTCCTACTGGAAATAATGAGGCAATCGAAAATACTTGACCTGAAGTGGATTTGACAGGCCTGCGAATTGTGGATTTATTTTCAAGTTCTAAAGACTGAGCTACGAGAACCTGACGAACTCGAATTCGGGTAAAATAGTTTTTACTGAACACTGCGGTGGGTAGTCCACTGCGGTCCACTGCAGTGGACTGCGGTGTTCTTCAAAAGTCTGTACTCGTAGTAAGGCAGATTAACTGATGGCCAATGGATGTTTCAGGTTAAAATCCCAACAAGGTAGTTTTACCTTTTGCGTCTTGATGTGGGTATTAATTCACGTCGTTTTAATATAGATTTTGAGACTGATAATTGGTATTTCATGGACAGTCCAGATGTTCACCGCATATGGTGACACTTACATCTGATCAAAGGACCAATCACATGGCAGAGCTCTCGTAAGTACTGCCATCAGAATCAGCATGCGATACATCTTTTCTGACTTACGCAGTTTAATCCCCACAGAAAAAAATTCATGTTCGAAAACACCCGTTTTCGACATCAATAAATGATTGTAGTTTAAGTTTTCGTGCTTATAATCCAGGACGAAACATCACGAAACGGCAAATTACAAGTGTTTCCACAACGACCGGGAGTCTTATTTAACCGCATTTTCAGCTAAATTTTCAGCTTAACACGTCATACAATTGCAGTGCAAATCTATATTGTTCAATCGAACCATTGTACGTGATAAAACTAAGCGTCATGCGATCGAGTTACATTATGCGTCTGTTGAAAGGATGAGTCGAAAGTGCGAAGCTTCCAGTGCCACACCCGCAGTCATTGCTGTATGCGGCTTTCGTCTTGAAAATAAGACTTCAACAAACGCGTGACACGATCACCAGACGCTTATTAATTTGCATCGACAAGATCGATCTGCGCTGCAACTGTGTGGCGAGTGTAGCTGGGTATAGAGTCGAATGAGACTCCTCTGCTCCGTGTGATTTTTTACACCATCTTAAAACCTTGTCCTAATGAAGTCACAAATATATATCCATAAGGAGCCGAATCTTCACTGGTAAATATCATTTCTTTGCTACCCAAATAAATTTAAATAAATTAGGTACTTACATAGCGGCTGACAATTTGATTGGTGTAAAGTCTCTCCACCTCGGGTTTCAGCTGACCAAAATCCCATATCAAAGGGCGCATGCTTCCTGGCAGGGCGTGAACACGGTACACGAGATGACGTAAAGGGATATGCCCTGTGGGAAGTGTAGGGTATACAGACAAATTTGCCTCCTGAATGTGATACTAAAACAACAGAGTAACTCAAATTCGTGATCGAAAGCATGGACCGTAATGTGAATTATCTGTCTTAACTCGCGTATTTCACAATTGTTTCCCTCAAGGGTGATTTTGTCACTTGTCACCACAAAATCAAAGTTCTTTTTAACAATCGATGTGAAAGGAATAATCATAAATTATTTCATACCAAGACGATCTTCTGACTCATCTGTTTTCACGTGGTATCCGAGACCTGCTGACTCCAGCTTATGAATCATGTCGTCCGTATGCCTGCAAGATAACAATTTCGCTGTCATCAGAGTAAAACTAAAATATACCAAATTTCATTTTAATTATTAGTACGGTAACGTTTTGGCTATCCTGGTCAGCTATCAGCAACTTAGATTCCTAACAGGTTTGTAATATTTCTAAATTGGATATTTTTTTTTTTGTAAAGACCGTGGTAAGCACATCTGCTTTCGAATTCGTTTTTCGCATTTAAAATAAAGTAAGCAAAGACTAGCGGCAAATCGCTTGATACCAAAGCATAAAGAAGGGGGTCCGCTCTGGGGAGGTGGTGGGGGCACGATGTGATAGATCCAAGCAACCCTGGCGTAATAGAAATAAAAAGGGATGGCTTGATTTACTTTTCGTGCTCCCAGACGAATTGTGCTTGATTGTACATGAATCCACGACGTTAATTTATAGAAGTCGTAGCCAGACTAGTTTAAAATTTATTGTAGAGCAGATGCGAAGCCTAATCACCTTCTGTAAGGATTACAGGCAGCGATAAATTGCAGTCTTTCCAGACCCTGTCCAATAGGTCTTCCATTGATTCTGCGGTCAACCATGACCTCCTTGATCATGCTCAGTGCCTCAGTGGTGTTGGCCTCATCAAAGAACAGAACCGTGTCAATGTTTTTGCCTTGGTTTTTAAGAGCCATTTCTTCCGCCTGATTAACTTTCAGCTTGATATCTTCGTAAGTCGTACCGCCATGAACCTTGAAAACAATCAAATTAGCTAATGCGTGTGATATTTGGAGGCGACATCGTAGTGAACTTGACCAGGCTTGTTTGGGGGTTCTAACAATAAACGGTAACTATAAGTCAGATTGTAATTCCATAGTTTATTTTCTAGGCATTGACAGAAGGGAGATCTTCCTACCAAAATCGACTCATATAGGGAAGAATAGTCCAAATGGTCGTATTATATATTTTTCGACAAATAAGATGACTTGCATTCTCAGCTTTAATCACTAAAGAGATTTTGCCAACAATTTTTCCACAAAAACTGTTAGATACTCATAATCCAAAAGCTGCTGACCTTCACGAGAAGCATGTTTCGTGGACCGCCATGACCTGCTTGTAAGCCGCACATGTACCGGATTAAACGAGTCTTACCACAGCCAGTCTCTCCCATCACGATAACAGGAATATTGCACCTGATTATCAAAAAGTCAACATCGTCTAAGAATAAGCACTATAAGCTATAAAATACTTCAAACTTCTTCCTGATAGGTCCATGTGTGAATAAAACTCCATTTAAGTCGAGGCAAACGACAACCTACCATGTATTGAGGAAAAATTATACGCCGAATAGATTGCCCGCCTATTCTTTGGCATAATGGTCTCGAAACAAAATGACTACAAAATTACGCAATTCTGAGGAACAAACGCAAATATCGGCATACTTACATGTAACGCTGGACTCAAGTTGGAATGGTATTTAACAAAAAATAGAGGATTCTAAGTTGTTTCTATGTTAAAAAAGAAAAGGCATAGGTAGTTTCAAATCACGGGCGGAACCGTCATCAGTGGCCTGTTGAACAGAACGACAAAGAGCAAACAGTTGGATAGCTCGTTCAAAAAGTTAGATCTGACTACCGAAACATACCTAAATCTCATGTGAATGGCCAGAATCTTCTTAACATTGTCTGTAGTCAGTTCATAGGCTCGGTCTGGATCGTGCAACCACTGAACACCCATAACAGAACACAACCGCCCTATCTTCTCCTCCCTAAAATGAGGTAGATGAGGCAAATTGAAGTCTGCACTGAGGGGAAATCATATACCTCTATCACAATAACAATCAATTTAGCCCTTCAACATTGAGCTACCTACTATAATTACCAATAAACCGAGTAGCATCCTCCGTCCACGTTCAAAGTATTTAGATGTAAAGTACGACAAATGCTTAATCTACTGAGGTAAAAGTCAATCAATCAATCAATACACTTTACAGTTGGACTGGCCCGTGGATAGCTAGTGCTAGTCTAGGCGGACCAGTGTATCAATAGTTACAAAAGTTGTTGTTGTTGTTGTTGTTCTTGTCGTTGTCGTTGTCGTTGTCATTATTGTTATCGTTATTAAATAGAAAATAGAAAGTTAGAAAAAAGTGAATAAAATTTTAAAAAAAAGAAAAAGTAGAAAAAGAATGAGAAAAGAAGTGGGGGGTTATTAGATTTAATAGATTTTTTTTTTCACTCCAATGAAAGCAGCTTAGTAGGGTTACTTACTTTGTCAAATTCTCCGTGTTTGTTGTGAAATCAACTCGTTGGGCTTGCAATCCATTACGCAGCGGTTTAGACATCAGACCTTTCTCCAAGATTTGCCCTGTTCGAGGGTCAACGAGGTCGCCAGTGGTATTGATATAGAAACCAAGAAAAGTCATAGTGATGTGGTCTTGATTGAAGAACAGGTATGGATGAGGACTGAATAACATAATATAAACTTCAGTCAGAGGACCGTCTGATTAATACTAAAGAGCTCCAATTTTACCGTTGTCATACCATTGGAATTGGCGTTCCTGTGACAGTTTTCCTATCGTTACATTTTTGTGTCTTTTTTTTCGGCTCTCTACATTATTCATGTTGGTTATTCCGATCAGGGTAAGCTGTATCTGTTAATCTGGTGCAGCAACCACCACGCAAGATGGAGTGAGGATACTCAACTTATTCATTATTGAGGAGAAAGGTTTGAACAAACGTATTATTCCAAAATTCCAAAAAGAGAAAATACTGCTTGTAAACACCCTTTTCAAGTAGAGGATGGAATGAATATATTTCATAAATTCAATCGGAGATCAGATATGTATAGAAAGTGGCACAAGTTATTGCTTTTCGTAAAAGTCGTAAAAGGTTTCAAGCATATTTGGGTTAAGCTGTCACCTTGCAACCACGAATTAATTAGGAGAATCAGGAAATGACGACCGTTATCTTTATTTCTGTCCACCAACCCCGAAGTGGTTTACAGGAAGGTCCTAACAGTTTCATTCAAAATACTAATACCAAGTGATACCTCTATATACTTACAATAAGTACTAGAATATCGAATTTGAATTCAAAATAAAGGACTGTCACCTGCTCTCCCACTTTCTTCTCAGCTGAAATTGCTCGATCTCTCTTCGCTCAAGCTCCGCGTTATCGTCCGTAAAAAATACGGTGTTTTCCTCTGTTAGAGACGGAGTGGCAAAATCCTGCAAGAAAATAAGAACGTTGTCATCAAAATGAATACTGTCAAAAGATTACACATGACATCACTAAACTTGTGCACTAAGTAGACTATGTTGCTAAACTATAACGGGACTTTAAATACACTGGAAGCTTATGAAAACCACACCCTACCCTGTCACGGGATCGATTATTTCAACAACGTTTTTACAACGCGTAGACGAGGGCAACTGGCAACTCATAATTATATTTTGACTCTGTCTTGTCTTGATTGGACAGTTTCTGTGTAATCTTCAACTCAGCTGTAAAACAGCTCCAGTTTGGACCTCGTTTCAAAACTTAAGTCCAGACTTCTTAGCGTAAAATATAATAAACAGACCCCACCGGTAAAGCAAGCTCGTTAAGGAAGGATCGTTATATGATAGCACGAAACCGCGTGCGTGTAAGACTTTGAAAGGCAATTTAACAAACATATTAGCAATTAGAAAGACAAACCAAATGCAATAATAACGCCTTCCTTTGCTTCCTTTCTGTATTAATTATTTTTCGGTGCTGGCTTAAGTGGTATAGAGAGGAAATCAGCACATTGAAACTTCAACAAGCTCAGTCACGGTTTTTTCGTAGTTATTTTGGCCACGTAAATAGTAGTTTACTAAGATAGAAAAACACAAAAGAGAAAATAATAAACCATAGAGAAGCAAGGATGGTTAAGAATGGCGAAGATTGACACGGATTTGAAATGACGAGCTTGGAAAATTAAGGATGCACAAACCGTGACGTAGTTCTCTTGAACTCGCTGACATCATGTCAAGACGGTCTTAAGTATCGGAGTGATGAAAGTAATACACAAAGGAAACAAGTGTTTCTAGCTGCTTATAATTTCATTACATTCCCATACAAACTCTAACATTACACTGTTTTGCAATGACATGTAACGACAATCATGAACTGAGCTAAGGTTAATAAACATGAGTGCGTCATGTCGGGAATCAGTAAGAATTTTATCACCAAGCTTACCCTAGACATTTGTATCATAAAACGCGCGACGAATGACCGGAAGCCTTCCAGATTCAGTACATTAGGTCCTGCTAGGACAGCACCCATCAGTGTCATGTCACAGAAAATACTCTGTTCACAATCTCGGAGCTGCGAGTTCAGGAAACTCACAAAATGACGAATTTCCGACCAGGAAGGATCGGGTATGCCGCAATTTCTGAATAAAATAGTTAGAAAAGATTTGATTACGGCGTAATCAAGAGTTTAGACTTCATTAGTTATAGTCACAAACATTGGTTTAATAAAATAAACAATTCCTTTAAGCCAAATGAATAGTGGAAACTATTAAATTGGGTTCTGGTTGCCCAAAATTGTCTGGGGAGATCAGCTTCGTCTAACAACACAGATAAACAGTTGCAATCATTCCAAAGTCGCATTGCAAAGAAAATCGTAAAGGGAAAAGTGATATCAGCTGAGGCCCTAACATCGTTGTGGTGGCTCCCATTTAAATGCGAGGCGTTTTGGTCATCGGTGTTGTCTCGTGCAAGACGCAATGAGAGGAGAGATTCCAGAACTTTTCGATGTGTTCAGATCTATCATGAGCCAACAACACGGTTACAATACCCGAAATGGTTACATGCCCAAAATTAGCAAGCCAAGAACGGAATGGTGCAGAAACAAAACATATTTTAAACCAACCACCGATTGGACCTCACTGCCAAGTGAGCCTTAAGAAACTTATGCCGAAAAGGATTTTAACACAAACTGAAACAGTTTTTACTTAACCATTTTTAACCTTAGTTAGTTGTAGTATTTTTAATCCTAGCTCTAGTTTTAAACCTTAGTTTAAGTCTTAAGTTTTTAGCTTTAATTACGTTCTATATTTTAGACATTTAATTACACTTTAGACTTCTATTTTTTAGAGGACCCTCCTGAAAACCACCTCTACTGATTATTTATTGTTGTTGTTGTTGTTGTTATTATTGTTATTATTATCGTAATTATTATTATTATTGTTATTATTGCTGTTGCTGTTGTTATTATTACTATTATTATTATTATTATTATTTATTTATTTATTTATTTATTAAAATGAACATGTAGAGTTAGTAGCAGCCTTTGCAAAGCATCAATTTTGCATACCTCAGCAATAACATGAGGCATGTTCTCTGGTCTTCATCTATATTTCCGGGCATAAAAGTGAAGTTATCCAGACTTTTTCCTTGACTTGAAAGTTTGAGATACTGATAAACCCTCTGGAACGGTGCGTTTCGGAATTCTTTGACATCAAGCAAAGGATTGAAGTCATTTGGATCTGTAAACGAAATTAAAATGGAACCATCAAGGACCAAAATGTGTATCTTAGACTAAGCTACACACTACTAAAATTCAATACCTTTTCAAGATTGTACGAACCATGCTTAGTGCACCCGCAAATCTGCATACCTGGATTTACCGCTAAACGGCATTGAACAGTTCTTGGAGTGTGGCACTCGATGGTAGGTAACAGATCGTAGAATGGTTGCTTACACATAATAGATTTCCCAGGATGGCGCTGGAAAATTTAACATTTTATAAATAAAAATATATATGTGATTAATACAAAAAATGTCTTAGAATGTATGACAATCAAAATTTAAGAGCCCTGTTTCCACTTTTTTCTCGCGGGAAGAAAATAAATATTTCCCATTGGACTTACTAACTCACCCCTTGCATTTCAACTTCCTCTTCTCTTGTGAAGCCCATGGGCAGTGGAGCAGATGTCGTGATCTCAATGACGTACAAGTCAGTGCTTCGCCTCCTCCACACTCGTCCCATCTTGTCGCAAAGGTAGCCAAGGACAAGTAAGTTAAACAGAAGGCTGTCCAATCCACGTCTCATCTAAAAACACGGAATAGTATCAACAAAATACTGGCTAGCTCTGCTCAGTCCTCGCATACGGTTGTGGTCTTATGATGCAGAATGTCATTAAGAAGGAGGGTGTCCAATCCACCACTCGTCTTTACACGACATGGCCCAGGTTATACAGTTCCACTTGCGATAATTATAAGTATATGTTTGAGTAATGAAATCCATAAATTAGTACCAGTCCCATTTCTTCAAAGTGTTGTTACTGTTACAAGCTGCAGAACGGCTAAAAAACAGTAATTTCTGTCTCGAGAATTTTTACTAATTTATAACGCATATAAGCCCTGGTTTCATTTGCTCATAATCAAGTTATCACCCGAATTGCCCCATTTGTCTTACCGAAGGTGATACATCCAAATGTAATACACGTGACAATGGTACATTGGCCCTGACGGCATGCGGCAAGAGTGAATCTACAAGCATTGAAGAGTCCGTGGAGTTCCCGTGAAGTGGAACCGTGACATGCAAGGCTACGTTGGAGTCATGCATGCGCTCGTTTGTCAAAACCATGTCGTTGTTTACAAGGTTAGGTAGCTGGTCTGTTAGACGACGAACAAACAAAGTCTTTCCCAAACCCCCTCGTTTAGATGAGACAACTCGGACACAAAGCCTAGACAGAAAACAATCAATTAGCTTTTCAGATTTCCATTCCATTTGAGGAGGATCATATTAAATACCCACACTTATTCTATATTGGAAAGGTAATGGTAATGATAATTTTATTTCAAGAAAAAAAAAAACATAGGGACTGTTAGACTGTTAGACACGATCTTCCGAGCCTGATGCTCACGAAAAATGAGCTCGACTAAAAAAATAAGGAAGTATATATATGCTAATCTAGATCTTTACAATAGTATTAAAATGTTGATATAACATATGAAAAACCTACTTTCCAGGATCTAAGGATCCCGCTGTAGTCCAAGTAATCTTACTACTGTTGATGTAGCCATACTGTGCGGGAGGAGAGCGGAACTGATCTTTCAGGTAGCTCTTAAGATCATTTGGCGAAGGGCAAGGTGGAGCAGCAACCCGATACTGATCAAGGGCTGCCACTATGGTGGCACGGTCCTCATTCTCACTACTACAGATTACCACCAGGCCATAGTCTGAAAGGTAATAAGAGAAAGAACTTAATATATGATCACAAGTCGTACACAGGTATTATAATACAGTACAACTGTCTAACCTACACCTAAAACCTTACGACCTGGGTTGGCATATTATTTATATTTAGTCGTACTCACGTTCTCCAGTCTTTCCCGCGAGCCCCTGTGTCACTACGCCAAGCAAGTCCACTGCCTGTTTGCTGACAGAGAAGTCTAAGAGATCAGCATGAACAAGGCAGTAGAATCGTCCCTCAAGGTCGCCTGTGGCTCGTCTCCATAACAACTCGATCTACGCCAAACCAAAGAAAGATAAATATAATTTTTCACGTTGATTGTTGTTAGTGGTGTGTCGGTATGTAGATTCGTTGGTATGCAGGCTACGTAATTAAGCTAAGAAGTGAATATTTAAGGAGTTTCTCCGTTAGGAATTTTCACTCGACCGCATCTCCGCTTTTGATCACTTCATTCTGGAAATTTTGTTTT